GCCAGCCTTCCTCGTCCCCTCTCCAGCTTCCCTCCGACCCTCCCTCCTCCGTGGAGTCCACGCCCAGCCTAGCCCTTGAGAACTCAGCTCCTCTCCACCCTTCCCAGGACCTGGCCTAGCCCCACCCCGATGGGGTCTCTGCCCTCTAGGCCAATCTTTGGGCTCTGTCCCCACATGCCTAGTGTCTAATTTCTGCCCCATCAATCTCTTATAATTACTAAATTGATTCTTTTATGTTAAAAGGAGGCAACATTGGGCTTGAACTAGTTTTCCTTAAGTCAGTATCTCAGGCTTTCTATATAAGTGCGGCTTCCTCCAAAAGGGCGGCCTTCAATTTATTCCAAGGCATTTTCTTATCTAAGCTTCTCCTTCAGCTCTTGTATCTGCCTTCTGGGGCCCCTGGACTGAGGTAAGGAAGGCTGCCCTCCTGCCACAGTTAGAAAAAAGACACGGTTTCCTGGAAGAAATCACCATGGACACTGAATTTACGGCCGCTCTATGCATATAGCAACAGGAATCTGGCCAGGAACTAAGGCGCTATCAGGGTTTTATCTAGAGGGCTTTATCTTTTGATATTGACAGCCTGCACAGGTCCTCTAGACAGTAGCGGTAATTATTCCACCTCCCTACAGAGGTCTCCACTCCCCTACTCTCTGTTCAGCCCCTGCACTGGCCCTGGCATAGGGAGAGGCCGGGTGAATAGAGCCACAGCGCGGGCTCTGCCCCAGCAGCACCTGTTGCCTGGGCTGGAAGCGGGGAGAGCGCATGGAACGGCTTGTCTCTGCACAGCCCGTGCCTGTCCATCTGAGTTACCCCCACCGGACTGAGCTCCATTTCAGGGTTCTCAGGCCTCTGAGCAGCAGCTGTTCCTTCCACAGGCTTTGAGCAGGCTCAGAGCTGTGACCCTCCTGGATGACAGGCTGCCAGCCCTCTCACCAACTTAACACTCCCCCGGCACCTTCCCAGCTCTCCCAGCCTTCCTCTCCCTTAACCAAGCCAGCACCCACCACCTCCCTCTCAGACGAGCCCTTCTTTAGTCTGCGTCCCCCCAAGCCTTGGGAACTGTGTGTTACTTTGTCCTCCGGTGTTTTCCCATGAACAGGGCTGGTCTCCGGCTAAACAGGAATAACAGCCCCTCGTAACTGGAAGGCACTTGCAGCAGGAGACTCCCTGGAAAGTGAAAAAAATTCTGAAGCCCAGGCCCTGCCCCAGCTCAGAATTTCACAGGTGGAGACCCCAAGTCAGGACTTTGCAAAATCCAGGTAGTCCCAGGAAGCAGTCAAAGTGAAGAATCACTGCTTCAGACCCCTGCAGTCTGCCACAAACGTAAGGGTAGGTGGACCTCATGCCCACCTAGGAAGGGACATAGGACAGATGTTACCCAGTTCTAAAGGAAGAAAGCTAAGGTTGAGAGGTGTGCTACACAGCGGCCACCAGCAGGGCCGGGTCTTGCAGTCAGGCTCTGTCTCCTGGGTTTGGGTACTGCCAAATGCAGACAGTGGGGTGGTTTTCAGCTTCTGTCTGCCCCAAGAGCTGACTTGGTACTGGGACATGCAGTTCTGAGAGCCGGCACTGAAGGACTGAACACACGAAAGCTGATAACCTGCACTGCACTGCGGCCCCCTCTCTTCTGAGCCTGGAAGCCTTCCCTCCTGGGCCTGTCAAACCTCTGACAGCTCTCCAGGAATGTCTTGGACAGGTGCCTCAAGAGGGGCCAAGAGACACCGATGGAATGGCCAGGTCAGGAGTTAGCCTCCCAGGTCACAGGCTAACTGCCTTAGCCTTCAGCTTCTCTAAGGTGACCGACCACCATACTTCCTCTACACTAAGGGGGCTGCCCAGATTCACATCTTTGAGCTTTAAAACCAAGACAAGCTGGTCACTCTGCTGACCTCTCCCCAGCCCCGTTGACACGTTTTCCCTAATAGGGTCCCCTGCCTCCTCCCTTTACTTTGTTTTTTTTGGTTTTTCTCCGGTACCGGGAACTGAACTCGCGACCTTGAGGCTTGCCAGGCAGGCGCTTTTGCCGCTGAGCTAAATCCCCAGCCCCTTCTTCCCTTTACCTTGCAGACTGCCATTCCTGAGGGCCTGAGCATGTGGCCCAGAGCTATCAGTGGCCTTGAACTTTCCTCTGTGTCTGGGCACAGCAGCTTCACTGGCCATTTGCATTCATCTCTGTTACCGGAATGGTCTGAGCTTATATGCCATCTTGCAGGCCACTTATCCAGTAGCTCCTGAACTCCTACTATGGGCAGGGGATGCACAAAGGTTCCTGTGGAGCAAGGGAACAACTACCATTCCCTCAGGAAAAGCAGCGCTAGAGATACACTGATGAGACAGGCTTCTTGGAGGTGACATGGGATGGGGCTGGGGTTACCTCTGGCACACAGAAACATCCTATGCAAGGTGCAGCTGTGGGGGCGGGGGATATAGCTCAGTGGCATAAGCGCCTGCCTGGCAAGCGCAAGGTCCTGAGTTCCGTCCCCCGTACCGCAAAAAAAAAAAAAAAAAAAAAAAAGGTGCAGCTGTGCAAGAGTGTGGCACGTTCCGAGACCAGGCAGTCAAGGTGCAGTCTCCTGGGCCGTTCCCAGTGCCTGGTTACAGCCCAGGCTAATTAATCAGCAGGGGTCAAGGTAAAACCCGCACTCAAAAGGGCGTTTTAGGGCTGGGGATTTAGCTCAGTGGCAAAGCGCTTGCCTGGCAAGTGCAAGGTCGTGAGTTTGATTCCTGGTACTGGAAGAAAAACAACAACAACAACAAAAAGGGCGTTCTAAAAGATCCCAAAGGAGCCCCAGTGCAAGGACAAGGTTGAGGGCCTGGTGCTAGAGGACACAAGGATGAAGCAGGGTCAGATTGCTACAAAGGTTCTGCGGTGGGAACTTACCAAAGGGCCAAGCACCTGCCAGCTTCACCCCAGGCTTTCACCTCTCTTTTCCTTTTCTCATGTCCCACATGAGACGAAAGGACACAGAAGGGGTGGGGGGACGACTACCACACTTGGGGAAATCAGAACTAGCTGAGGTTTTAGAGATCATTTCTGGTCATACTTGAGAGCTTCACTAGCAGCCCAGGGTCAGCAAGAATTTGGAATCTACAGGGAACCCAACAAACTATACCGTTGCTTCCACTTCCTCTAAACACAGCATGCCTAAGGGACCAGACAGAGCAGGACGCAGACCAGCCACAGACAGGGGAATGCAGCCCTCTAATGGCAAGGCTTAGGTACAACTCCCACAGATGCCCCCCCTTCCCTCCTCTTCTCCCTCAACTGGTTGAGTATCTTAGAACTAAGAACCGGCGGTGTAGTCTGAAGAGTCTCCCACCGAGTGTTTTCCAGCTGGCTCTACAGCCCGCGCAGGCAAGCCATGCCCCTCAGCACGCCCCCCGCCTGCCCCACCCCATCCGTCTCTCCAAGGGAATCCTACAGGCGGGTTGTGCAGAGCTTGCACAATGGGCCAGAAGGGAAGTCAGCTTCCCGGGGACTCCCTGTGGGGCCTTCAGGTAGTCACTAAAGCTCAGCACCCTGTCTACCCAGTGGGGACGTGGGACATGCTGTATTTCAGAGGGCTGGTGATTAACAGATGCAGGAAAGTAACTCTGCCTGACTCCCAGCTTGAAATACAAGGGTCAGGGTCTTCTCCTAAGAACAGGGATGCGCCCACCCCACTCACCCAGTAACACTACACTGCTGCCTGCTGAGGCTTAAAGCCACAAGGGTTTTCCCAGGTTGTGTCGGTAAGGCTTACTGACTTGTATTCATTTTTTTCCATACTGACATTCTGCTCTGATCTGACTGTGGCCCTCCATTTATGCTTCACTGTTTTAGTTATGGCATTCTGCTCGACGTACTCCCCTTCTCATCACAACTACAGTGCTGGGATGCAGCCCAGGGCCTCGTGTACGTGAGGCAAGCGCTCTACCATTGAGCTAAACCTCCAAGCCTTGTGACTTCCAAGACATCTCCCCAACTCCTTTCTGAAATAAGGTGGGCTATAAGTAAGACCTCAGTAAGTCCTGGACTTATGAACAAGTTCCACTCTGGGAGAACATTCATAAGTCAGATTCATTTGGATCTGACAAAGCGAGTCTTACACAGCACCCCTGTGAGTTCATAACGCCAACATCTGTAAGAGGGACTTACTGTATTTTGAACTTGACAGGTCTTATTCTCACACATACTGCTGAGCTAGTTCAGCGCAAACTTTTAAATTCTATCACCTTTGATTAAGACAAAAGCTTTCTTCTAAGAGATAGTGGTTCCAAAATACACATCTGAGTTATCTTTGAGACTTACAAATGTTCTAGTTCAGACGGTTTTGTACAGATCCCAGAAATCTGTATTTTTAAAAGTTTCCCAGCTGCCTCTGAGACCGCTGATTCCACCCCTAGTCACAGAGCAATGTTTGGGAGTCCCTGGCCTGAAAACACACCAGAGTGGTCATTAGTCATAACAATGAGTAATGCTTTTACAAAATATAATTTTCTAAATAAAATAAATCTCAACTTTATTCAGCTGATGTTCCAAAAATAATGAGTGTAAATCCAAATTTTCAAATCAAATCTATTTAAATTCAAAAGATCAAGGGGCTTCAGGAGAAAACTCAGCAGGGAAACTCGCTATAAAATTAAGACTCTCCCTATCTTAAGTGTGCCTTGTTTTAAAGTGGACACACCTGTGATGCACATCCCTGCAATAAACATATTCCAGGCTCCTCCTCACAGCCCACTCGGTTCAACACAAGCATGTCAGCTCTTACAGCAGCTGGCAGAGGCTACCTGCAGAAGTTTCCAGCCAGCTCCACCTAAGAACTCACCCCATCTCCACGAGAGGGCGCTCCTCCCCTGGCTAGGACCTTTGCCTGCTCTGGGGATACCTGGCACTGTGTTTCTCACAGGGCGCTGTATGCAAAGGCGAGGGAGGGCAGACATGCAACTCAGTGTCCCTGGGTCTCCAGATGCACTGGCTTCTGTTTCCTAGCTGCAGGCAGTAAAGACCCACACAACCTCCACAAATTTTATTTCAAAGTAGGGTGGACTGGCTCTGAAGAGCCAGCGTGAAGGTTCAAGGCGAATGACTGCTATCAAGCCAAGTGTGGAAACATATACAGGTACGCACTACCAAAAGATGTCCTATCAGCCAAAGGGCGGACGGCTGGAGGAGATGCTGCCTCCCAGAGTTCAAGTCCAATGTCTCAGCTGTGACTTGGTACGCTTTCCTCCAAAGTATGTTGGCTGGCAGAATCCTCAAGTCTCCAGGGAAAAGGACAGCCAAGTCTGTGCAGTCTAAAAATCCATTTTACAGCTTTCTAAGACGTCTGTTAGGCAAAATGGAAATTTCAAATGGTGTCTTCTTCAAAGTCAGATTTAGTCTTGAAGGAGTTAAAAGCCCCCTGTCCCCACTCCTGATCACTGTTTTCATCCTGTAGGGCTGTCAATCTTTTTTTAAAAAGGGGTCAGATTCTTCTTTCCTGGAAATCTAGGGCTCTTGTTTGGTCCAGAATAGGAGCGACAGATATCCTATCTGACGGGGGGTGTGAGATTAGTACCCAGGAGACTCATGTTAAAAAACCTGTGACAATTAAGAAAATCCACCAAAGGGCAACTATGCCACAGATGTGCCTGAAAAGACCAATACTGATACAGAAATAGGTAAGGGAGGTAGAATGGAATACACACAGTAAAGAGGAAGAAAATTCAAGCACAAAGGTAAGTAAGCGGGGTAAGACAATCAAAGGTACGGCTGATACTGATCAGGGTTTCAGTTCTTCTAGGAAGCTGAGGGTCATTCTGTCCTGCCATCAGTCTACTTATCCCTAGGGATAGGGGGGCAGGCAGGGCCCCTGACACATGAACAAGTAACCAGGTCTTGCTAGGACTTTCACTGCTTAATCACATTTGATGGACTTCAAGATTGACTGACTTTGTAATAAACACTGCAATATACTGGGTACTGGTATAATCTTTACCCAAGGCCGAGTGGAAAATGAACAAGGTCTTGGTCCTGAAAACCTTCTCATAAGGACACACGCACCAGGAACATCTACAGGGTACCCTACTCTGCCCGGGCAGAACAGGGGCTTGGTGGTAGTTGCTAATATACTTCAAGTGAGAGAACAGGCAAGACTTAGAACTGTTAGAATGAGATTGTAACTGACAAATCACTAACCTCTGCTCACTGCTACTTTCTCAGGGGTAAAGGCCCACCGAAGCCTGGGCATAGTAGGCGCCAATCTGCATCTAAACCCAAGATACAACCATTTTACTAACTGCGGAAAAAAAATCAGCAGCTCAGGCTTTTTGTCTCCAGACTGAACACTCTCAGGAACTACTCTGGCCTCACTTCAGGAAGGACAAACAGCCAGCAACTGCAGTGTGGAAAAGCTTACATGTTATCAGCCATAGGGTCCCTGTCTCCGCTTCCCCTGGGTAGCTGCTTCCAGGGAAGAATGACAATGTCCGCAGTTAGTCATCTACAGTCACTTTTGGGGGAGGCGGGGTGGAGAGGGAGGCGAGAAGCCAGAGCTATGACTCAGCCTGCAGTGGGTACCAGGAAACACGGCTTCTTCCCTCTCCTTATCACCTGTGCTCCTGGCCACCCATTAGAAGCCACGAAGGCCCGGTGATGACAGTGCAGGCAGCCCCCCACACAAGGCCCCCACACCGGCTGTATGGACAAAGCCACCAAAGTCACCCCTTCCCTCCCCCAGTGAGCATGAGAGAGAAAACCGAGACCTTTTCATTTCCTAAGGACCACTTCTCTTGGTGGCACTAGCCCCCCCTCCTAAGGTGTCACAGAAAACAGGTTTGAAACTGGATCACAATTACTCCTGAGTGGCGTTCACAGTTAAGGTGGGCATACATTTCAAAAGGTGGCCTCTGGACAGCCCTCCTCTCTCACACACACTCATAAACTCTCACTCGGTGGGAATGTTGTCCAGCAGCTCGGCATGGCTGGCTCACGTCAGGTACTGCACCACAAGGAACATGACCACACAGGTGAGGAGCATCCCGCCAATCATCAAGTACTTGTCCTGGAAAGCCCGCTTTTCAATGAGGCGCATCACCGTGTTGGACAAGCCCAGCATGTTGGCAATGTCCAGGATCTTCTTCTGAGTCCCCTGGGGCAGATGAGAAGATAAAGAAAAACAAAGATCAACCTGCTTGGCCAAAGATGGGTGAAGGTCATAACAAACTGAAGCTTTACTAATGGACAGTCTCTGGGTCGTGGGCATACAGAAAGCAACATCTGCCCAAAGCAGACTCGTTCTCCTATAGTCAGCTGGGTTTTGATCAAGGGGAAAGAAACATGTTCTTCCCGATAGTGCTGGAGCCACCAGCTATGTAATAAATTATCATACAGGTGTTAAACACACACGTATTTGATATACAGTGTAAAAATGCACCTTGATTTCACATTATATATAAAAATTAATTTGAGATGGCTCATAGGATTATGAGCTAAAACTATAACAAAGCTTAAAAAATATGATATCTGAAAACTGGAAGCAATGCAAGCATTTCTCCGCCGAGGACAGATACACAAATTGATACATCTGTACACTCGAGTCTGCTTGCCAACAGAAAGGGCCTGATTACCACAGTAACCAACATCAACAGGCCCTAAAAACACGAGAGGATGGCACAGAGAAAACACTAGCATGGATACTGTCATGCGAAGTTTAACAACAGGCAAAGCTGATGTACAGTGAGAAAAACTAGAGTAGTGGTTGCCTGAGGAGGTGGATCGTGTGACTAGGAAGGGGCAAAAAGGTATTTCAGAAGCAATGCAAATGTCTGTAATTTGAAAGGAGTGTGAGTTAAACAGCTAGATGATTTTGTGAAAATTCACTGTAATATACAAATAAGATCTAAATACTTCACTGTATATAAATTAGACCTCAACAAACCAATTAAAATTTACACTTTTAAACTAAGGAAAAACATTTAAAAACTCTTCCTTGGCTACCTAGCCCCACTAATCTTTGAAATTAACCTGTTCACTTTGTAGAGTGGAATCTTCAGAGATTTTATTGTGTGTAAATGGGTGGCTCAAAGTCTGTATTTACAAGAGGATTTGAAGTGGGAAAAAACGGACCGACAGAACGTGACAAACACAGCACCTAAAGGCCCTTATATAAATGTTGCTCACAACCACCAAGACTATTTTATTCTCCAACCAACAGCACAAATCATCCAGCCTTTCCTTCCTTACTCCTTATTTCTTATAAAGTAACAAGTACAAATAAATACAGGGTAGACCCAATCCACTGTACTTAACAAGATGGATCTACCCTACAATCCCACATTCATTTTCTTAATAAACACACATTAACAAGTAACAGAGAAGAGGCCAGGGAAGCAAGAGTAACAGGAAGCATCACGGACAAGGATTCAGAACCACACCCAGCATAACGAAAAAGTGTGAGAGGTGTGTGTGTGTGTACGTATGTGCGTGTGTGTAGATACAAGTCAAACTTGTCAGAGGAGACCAAAAAGATTTTTTTTTCATGACAATGACAATGAGACTTGTTATCAACCTTGCCTAGCTCTGAACATGTAGATTATTTTATCATAGAGGTTCAAAGATCAGGCTTCTAAAACCACATGAAAGTGGCCACTAAATTTCAAAAAGCATATCTATTTTTAACCACAAATTAGTCCAAATCAGTGTGCTCTGGCCTACTTCCTTCATGTGCTCTCCTGTATTCCTTTCAAATTGTTTAGGCAGAAAAGCTCCCTGAGAGGCACAGGTGGAGGGAATCAAGAAACAGAAGGTAGACAGTAGGAGGTGAGCAGGAAACCTTGCGGCCAAACCCCAGCCACCCAGACAGGCTTCCAAGCACGGCATTTCTGGCGGAAGGTGCACGATGCCAGGTTCAGCAGGCAGCTGACGTTTGCTTCAGAAACAGCTCTAACTCTGACTGCTGTTCTCGGGTGTGACATAGAGTCTTGTCCTAAAAAGGTGCCCCATTTTCTGAGATATGGAAGAGAAGAGAAGTTCCTTACAGAAAGGGCAGGCCAGTCAACATGTATCTGTTTACTGCAGGTGGCTGCTCCAAAGAGGAACACCAGACAAGCCATCTGAAACGCTGCAGCTGTCAGCAGGAAGCCAGCGTCACCACAGCTGCCCGGCCCTCTCCCCGGTAAAGCGGCAGGGGCTGTCCAGAAATGGGCCAGAGTCCTGTGAAACTGACTGGCTCAACAGATCCAACAAAAACTAAGATAAAGCTCATGCTTCTAAGTGACTATTTCTCACAGCTCAGTGGCTAGGAGTGCTTCATTGCAGGGGCCCACACCCTGATAACAGGCAGAGCCCACACCCTGCTAGCCACCAGGCCTGCTTCAGGAAAGGGCTGAGGCTGAACCATCACCACGACATCAGTCTGTGTAATGTTTCTGCAAACCACTCCCAGGGGCTCAGAGTTTTAGCGGTGGCAATGGCTCAGGGCTTCTGGAAATACCTGCACCTGAAGAGAAAGTGGGAGTCACTGGAAGTCTCCCACCACATGCTCTAGATGCCGTCCACTGCCGTGCTAGACAGCTGCAAGATCCCACTCACGGGGATCCAAGGCTCAAGTACAAAAGGTCCTGGTTATAAGGTATCTCACGCTGGGACCCTAAGGAAAAGATCACGCAGACTGGAACTATGTCCTCATTATTACCAAAGCAGATCCTATAGCACTTCTCAGCCTACTACGGGTTCTTCAGTCAACTTCATGAAGGTCCAGTAGACAGGGAAAGACTTGATACCAAGAAAGGCCACTTGATGGCTTATTTCAAGCAGTGGGAAAGGAAATTTGGTTACTTTGGGGCTTACAAAAACTCATCTCCAACAGGAAGGATCACAAATTCAAGGGCTTTGTCTCATCAAAACTTGAGGACACTTAATCAAAATATAAAGCAGGTTCCAAACTGTTGGGTGAGGCTAAGGCAAGAGGCTTTCTCCCTGTCCCCTAGCGAGGACCACACCTTCAGAGTCAGCCTCTGGGCCCTCAGCCCCTCCAGGATACTGTGCCCGCCTCCAATGAGGTCATCCATGCCGTGGTGAATGTTGTGCAGGGAGGAGTTAAACTGCAGTGACTCGTCCATTGGTATGGTGGTGTCAGAGTCCTGTGGAAGGAACACAGGCACTTTATTAACCTGGCCTCCTAAGCAGCTCCTGGGGTCCCACCATATCTGACTGCTCTGCCTTTTGGCCAAGGCCACGCCAGGACAGCCAGATGAAATGATGCAAGAGTCCGAGAACACAACGTGGAGGAAAAACAAAGCAATGGTGTGAGGCGGCCTTCATTCACACAGAAGTAGTTTCCTCGGAACTGTCACTCTCCAAACGAGTTCCACTACACTAGTACCGTCAATGTTTGCCTCTTCCCACTTAAGAAAAACTATTTCTTCAGGATTTCATTGGGTTTTTCCTAAAGTCTTCCTCTGATTAGTCACTAAGATAACTGTTTCAAATGTTCCTTTACTTGGCTTCCCCTTAATGCAGTACTGTTTGCTTTATTTTTTCACTATTTTATAGAGCTTATCCCTCTGATTAGATTGAAACTAAGGATCAAAGCAATCAAGTTTTCTATTGAGACCTGATCATGTTCACAATGGGAATACACTCTTTAACAAGCTAAAAAAGTTTGCTAAAGAAACAAAGGGAGAAGAAAAGAGTAAAGGTTGAACATGCCTGATCTGAAATACTTGGGACTAGGAGTATCTCAGATTTCAGAGGAGTTTAGATTTTGGAATGTCGGCTGACCTTACCAGCTGAGTATCCTTGATCTGAAAATTCAAAAGATTCAGAAGCATTTTGGATTTTGGACTTTCAGATTAAGAATGTCCCCCCTCCCCCTGTACTAATTGAGTACTTTCTACTTCACAGGCTCGTAATGCTAAACTCCCTTCTCACTCTGTGAGGCAGCTACTCTAATTATTCGCATGTTATAGATCAAGAAACTGAAAGCCAGGAAGATGGGATAACTCGTCCGAGATCACACAGCTGATCAGAGACCCAGCTGGGCAAGAAACCCAGGACCGAGTGCAGTGAGCAACACCAAGGCCAGTCCCGGTGGCTCTCACTCACGCGGAGTGGACTGTGGACAGGGCCAAGTCACCACAGGGCGACAGTCTGTCTCCTCCTGCTTCCTGATGAGAAGAAACTCCTACCAAGCAATGCTGTTTTTACCACTTGATGCCTAATTTCCATGGCACAAGGACGTTAAGTGATTTCAATCATCCCTGTTAATACTGGCGTGTCTCAGAGGGAAGAGGGAGGTTTACTGATTTTCTCACACACTTTCTATTCTCAGCACCTTAGTGTTCCGCATATAGCTAAGGCTTCGTGGGTCAGCAGACCCCAGTATTTGAGAAAAATAAGATAAGCATTTATTGAATCCTTTTACAAACAAATCTTTCTTACTTTCCCACCTGAAAAGCTAACAGGTAACAGCCCAGTATCTCTCAGAAGCATATATTGTAGCTCAGGGTGGTAAAATGACCATGAAGAAGCTTCACTTGCCAAGTCAATGCTTATTAAGGCCTTACTATATACACAGCCTCATTCGAGACTGACAAAACCCAATAACCCTAAGTCATTATCTCTGCCCTCAAAAATGCTTGAATGCAACAATGTAACTATCAAAAGCCCCCAATTTTTTTTTGGTATTGGAGAATGAACTCATCCAGGGCTTTGCACCACACACACACACACACACTGAGACTTTGCACTACACACACACACACACACACTCACTCTCTCTCTCTCTCTCTCCCTCTCTCTCTCTCTCTCTGAGGCAAGGTCTCACTAAGTTACCCAGGCTGGACTCAAACTTGTGATCCTCCTGCCTCAGCATCCCAGAGTGCTGGGATAACAGGCGTGCACCCCCACACCCAGCTCCACATTTCAGTATGTCTCACAGTATATTAAATTTTTGAACTGTTAAGCATTGTGACTTGATTGCTTATTCTGGAGAAACAGAACTATGTCGACCCATTCTGACATACTTGGAAAAATGTGCTGCAACGCATGGATGGAGCAACAAGAGTTAAGCATGTGCAAAGTGGAAAACGATAGGAATTCTAATGACAGGTTAGAAAACTGACATCTCTCTAGAAAATAAACCCCTCAGTAAGAAACAAAGTATAAAAACTCCCAAACCATCACATTTGGTGGAACATATTACACAGGACACAGAAAAAGGCCGTTATATTCTATAGCCACCCATGTTTGGGAATGATCCTACCGATACTAAGAGCCTAGGACAATGGATTCCAAGAAATCAAACATGAAAGCCGAACAAGCTATCTTCAAACAGACTCAAGTCAAGCAGGTCATCTAACACTAAACATCTGTTAACAAATTCCTCCAAATTGCTGCCCAGACCAGAGGCAAACATTTTAATGCATTTGACACTGGAACCACACACATGCACAGCACAATGGCAATTGCCCGGAGGCAGCTTTGAAATGCTGCCTTCTCTACAAATGATCTAAGTTCTAATCAGCTGTCTCTATCTGATCACAAAAACATCTCGACCATGTGAACTTCCACCTCTCTGCACTGGACAGTCAAACGAGGTTATTTCCACCTCTGCCATTCCTTCAAACTAACCACGTCCTCTTCAGGTTTCTTGATAGAACAAGAAATCCCTGTTTCAGTCTGCTCTCAGTGGCAAGGCACAAACGCCCTTGTCACTCCCCCTGGTGGTCTCGGTCTGTTTCACATCATGCCCCAGCCCCCGAAGAAGATGATCTGTCAAGTGCCCACCAACCCCGGGGCCTGGCTCACATTAGTGGTGAAGGTTCGAGACAGCAGCTCCTCTCGCTGTCTCTCCTGCTGCTCCCTGGCATAGCGCCGATGCTGGAAGTTTCTAAGAGCCGTCTGCAGGTGCTGGGCATCGTACTTTAACTGGTCTACTCGACTGCAATTGATGGAGAGAGAGATTAAATTCCAGGAACCTAAAGAGGCACAGTTTGAGGCCGCTAGGCTTTGTATTCAGGACAGGAGATCTTTCCTTACCCCTCCACCCGGCACATGTGATGTGGCTCAGTGATGTTGAAAGTAAAGAAGCAAGACTGTGGTTAAAGTAGGTGCTAGCGCGTAAGATTCCAGCAGCTTTACTTAAATGTGTGCTGGTCTGTGCTTCTAGATGCATTGCAGGGAACAGGTGACAGGAAGCAGGTTCAGTGACCCCTTCCTGACCTTCTATGGATTATATCACTCTCCTGGAAGAAGCCCAAGGGCATCTTTGAGGTAAAGTATCAATGAAGTTCCATAAAAGTTTGGGAGCAGGGGCTGGAAGTGGAGGTGTTGAAGGTGGTTTCATTTTAATTTCATGGTATAGTATCAAACATCACATCAGTATTTCATTATAAATAGACTGATTGAAGTGATGACTTGAGAGTGCAGTTTCATTTCAGCCCAGGAAGAACCCAGTGAGACCCAAATAAAAAAGCCATACTGCCTGCCAGCATGAGGTTTTAAGAAGCCTGGAAAAGCAGAAATGGCAGCATAATTTCAAAATAACACCAAAGAAGGAAGGACTCACAGACCTATGGTCTAAAAAACCTCACTGGCTTTTGATGTTGAGGGGTATCACTCATAGAACTATACCCTTTTGGAGGAGACTTTATCTTGACATATTCGCAGTATTTTAGTATCTGCATGGATTTTCGGACCAATCTATAGCCTCCCCTGGAAGAAAGGCCTACCCTGATGGGCCTAGGATATCAGAGCCACGTCAGAGGTCAATACTCACAGTTTGGCATTCTGCTTTTTATTAGGAGGCTCCTTGCTGGACAAAATCTCCAGGCGTTCTAGACGGCTGAATACCTGGTCTATGCTTGCTTGTATTTCCTTTTCTACTACTGTACAAAAGAGAAAAAAGAAATATTGCTGGAAAAGAGACAATGAACTTAAATTAGGATAATAAACCTATTTTTCCACATCCAATAAACTAAAAAATACATTTTTCAAAAGAAGGAAAATCCATACACAAATCAAGGTACACTATAAATATTGTTTATATACATATATGATACATACAAGGCGTGATTAAAAAATACACTGTTTAAACTTTTAGACGTTTATTACAGTAAAAGGCACATAGCCATTTATCCTCCTCAAAATACTCCTGCACCTTTCACACACGCTTATCCCATCACTCTCGCCACTTTCTGAAGCAGTATGGCAGTCCTTTCTCATAAAGGCCTTCAGCTGAACTGCTGTGGTTATCTTAAGGTCCTGAATCAATTCAAAATGTTTCCCTTCCATGGTTGTTTTCACTTTGGGGAAGAGCCAGAAGTTGCACACTGCCAGATTTGGTGAATTAAGGTAGATAAGAACACACTGATATTTTTACAAGCCTGCCTTTTCACTGGATGGCACTGGGCAGCAGCAGTCACTGTATCTCTTGATTATGCCTCACAAAGACACGAACGATGACTTTCAGAACTGCTTGAGAAAGTGGCAAGAACAACAGTGTGTGTTCAAGATGAGAGAGAATATTCTGGGGGGGGATTAAGGCCATGTGTCTTTTACTATAAAATTTTTTTAAAAATTTAAATGCTCACTAGATTTTGTGATCATCCCTTGTGTGTGTGCACAGTACACACGTATTTCAATTTTTTTTGTACTGGGAATCAAACTCAGGACCTTGCGCTTGCCAGGCAGGTGCTTGTGCAGCTGAGCTACTTCCCTGGCCCCTCAATTTTTTATAACCTAAAGAATAAGTTTACAGAAACAAATTTTCTACCTTTAATCTTTTTCCTTTGAGATTGGTCTCAAATATGGATTATAAACACCTAGTAAAGGGAACGCCAGTTGAATTTCCTACAGATACAAGGTTAAAAATTAAAAAAATAAAAAGGACAAAGGAAAGGAAAATTCATATGGAAACATACAGAGCAGTGTTCCCTGAAAGGTTTCCGTAACAATGACTGGGCTGAGCTCTTAGGATTCCCTAAAACTGACTAAGGATCATTAAGAACGGCACAGGAACAAATCCACAGAGGTGAGAAGATATGATAAATATGTTCATTTTCCATTATTCCCTTTGATGAGACAGTCAAAATGACCTCTTTTCCATTTCTAATCATTTAACAATGAGATTGTCGGGAGGGCAAAGGAAGTCCAAGGGACAGAAATGGAACCACACACAAAACAAAGCATGTAGGCTGCTTCTCGCCCCACCAAGAAGGAACGCAGTAGCTCTGCCCTTCCCAGCCTTCACACCTATAGTGAACGTAGGCTTTTTAAATTAGAACACAAGGGGCCCTGGGGCAAGAGAAGAGACTCTTCGGGAACTGCGGAACAGAGGAGAAAATGCAGAGACTGGTACGGCATGAGCCAGGCAGTGAAGCGACAAGAGCTCTCTGGAAGTCTGTATGGCTGACTCCAAAAGGGGCCTTTTCTTGGAACAGGATTAAAAACAAAAACAAAAACAACTCAATTCTCAAAAAGAAATCATGGTGTGGGAACTAAACTAATTAATATTGCTATTCATTTCTGAAAAATCCTCCTAAAAAGCCAGGGTTCTCAGCTCAGAAATGGCCAGTACCAGTTAAACATCTCTGAATTTTTATGGAGCACATTCCTCTGAAGACTAGGTAATTAGATTAAGACAGATGGGGGAAAGGACCTCCACTCCCACAGGGCCATGTCAGGTTGAGTGGAAGGGTAATGGGGGATAAGACTTGTGGGATTCCAAAAGGCACAATCAGGGAAATCAGTGACTCTGCCATAGGGTTTTTCTTTCCACCCTAACAACAAAACTCATTCCACGCTAAATCATCAACCCCCGAGGCAGAATGCAGTCAGGAAACCCAGCCCATTAGCACCGTGTCATCAGAGAAAGGACTCTGGTCTCCATAGTTAATTACTCACAGTGCAGAGACTGTTTGTCTGCTGTCTCCAGGCGTCCCATGTGAGACTGGATCTCATGGACCTGCCTATCAGAAGACGAGAGAGGAAATGAGTGAGACAGGAATAATCAAGAGTGTTTCAGTCAGGAAAGACGATTTTTCTGATGCCAACATGTAACTGATTTAAACTGACAGCCAAGCTGAACTGTAAAATTTGTATGTGGTGCTTTAGGCCACACATTTTGGCATGGTTTCTAATATGTGAATGCTAATATTAATAATACTGATAAGTAGTAGTTAGTGAGTGCTTGCTGTATCTAAAACACTGCTAAGTCAATAACCCTGTGAGCAAAGCACTATCATTGTCTTCATTCTATAAATAAGACAACTGAAACGCAGAAAGGTTACGTAACTTGTTCACGGTCACACAGAAAGTGATAAACTCAACACAGATTTAGCCAATCCCACTCTCTGTTCTATGACCCAGTGTGCTGAGCCCTGGTCTGTACTACAAAGAGTCAAAGGGCAAGGGAGATATAATCCTTGTCCTTGAGAAACAATGTAATTAGGAATGACAGGCCAGATAGACATGAAAAAGCCCTGAGAAGACTTAGGGGAAAACCAATACACACAAGCGTAAACAAACAGAAAGCTGAGAGGCTATGCACAGTGGTGTGAGGCAAAGGCAAACAAATAGAAGGGTTGGGACTGAGAAAGCATAAACTGGGAAGTCTATGGGTGGAGGCAATTCTGAGCATCACCTTGAAGAAGGGAGACGCAATTTAGTGAAGGAAAATATAAAGAAAATGATTCATGAAAAGCCTGCAAAGCATGTCATGCAGATTATAAGCAGACTGGCCCACCTGAAGGAGGTCAGTTAGAAAGGAACAGAGAATGAGACATGAGTTGAAGGAAACCATTCAGAAGCAGGCCCTAGAAGATAGGAATCTATTTGGTAAAAGTCTTTCCCTGGTAATAAAAGGCAAGCGCCATCTCATGTGGAAATGTAACACAGTCCCAGACATCAGGCCCCAGAGCACCACGAAGGCTTCCCAGTGCCCGGCCAAGTTCTGCAGGCGGGGGAGTGTGTGTGTGTGTGTGTGTGTGTGTGTGTGTGTGTGTGTGTGTGTGTGTGTGTGTGTGTGTGTCATCATTAGCCTCTAAGATACTGCTTTTGGTAGCCAACAACTGCCTCCTGGTGTTTATGGTCTTTTCGCAGTAGAGCCCACATGGAAGGGCTCTATCTCCAAGACTGGACAGAAAGAAAGGTAGCAATCCTCCTGCACTGTGTATGCTGCAGAGCATGACCACAAATTTACCAATGTTAGCCAAGAGGCCGAATTTGCTTTCAGCTCACCTCTAGGCTCTTCCAGGGCTTCCTATGGCTTCTAAATATGTCCTAGAGTACCACAAGAACCTAAGCTATCTAAGGACTTCCACAGCATGCCCAGGCAAGCCTTGTAACCCTGAGAAGTAACTAGAAATCACTACTCGAGTCTCAGGACTAGACACTTGCTTAATAAGGTAGATCAGTCCAAGGTATTTTAGAATGGGGGGAGGTGGAGATGTGGGAGCTGATACAGGAATGCGGCCTGAGGTAAACACCACATGGAACATCTGGATCAGAGTAACCACATGAATAACTATAGAAGACAGAATGGTGATACTGATGGATACAAGAATTAGGGCTTTACCAAAGGCCTGGATATAGACAGTGAAGTAAATTTGCAGTAGTGACTCAAAAAAGCAAATCAGAAAACTGGTGGCAGGGACAGCAAGGGGATGGGGTGGGACATGACAACAAAACATAGCCAAGACAACTCTGAGAAAGAATGTGGAGGGATGATTTGCTCTACCTGCTGTGAATACTTATTACAAAGCCATAATAATGCAAACAATAATGGTAGCAGTGCAGGAATCAAAGGATAAAGATAGACAAACCTAATTCCCGGACCCAAAAGAAGAGATCCCAGAAGCAGTCTAATATTTTGGGAACTTGGTGACATAAATCAGTTCGAGAAAATGGATTATAGGGTGTTTGTGGCTTAATAGTAGAGTGATTGCTTAGCATATGTGAGGTCCAAGATGTTATCCTCAGTACCTTGAAGAAAGAGGAAGAGGAGGAAGAGGTGGGAGGGGGCAGGGGCATGTAGAGAAGAGGAGGATGAAGGAAGAGGAAAGGGAGGAGGAAGAAAAGGAGGAGCAGAATAGATTACAATGAAGGCTGACAGTTCATTTTGTTGTTCATATGGAAAAAAGACACTTCACTAAACACACCAAAAAACTCAAGATGGCTTAAAACCTAAATGTGCTGGGTGTAGTGGCTTATGCCTATAACCCCAGCATTTGAGAAACTGAGGCAGTAGGATTGCCACAAGTTCAAGGCCAGCATGGGCTACACAGCGAGTTCAAGGCCAGCCTGGACTAGAGTGAGACCCTGTCTCAAAACAAAAACAAAAACAATCCCCACAAAAAAAAACCTTAAATACAAACAGCAATGTTTTCAAACTTTCTGAAAAACACAGGTATGCCTCAATGACCCTGGGTTAACATTTCGTTTTGATGAGACAGAGTTTCACTTTGCAGTGCAGGCTGGCCTTAAACTCACTATGTAGCTCAGGCTGACCTTGAACTCACAGCAATCCTGTCTCAGCCTCCCAAGTGCTGGAATTACAAGTGTGCACCACTATGCCCAGGAGAGAAGGATTTCTTATAATAAACCCCAAACTACCTCCCCAAAACTTACAAATCACAAAGGAAGGACTGACAAATCTGACTACATTAAAACAAAAGATTCTTTGTGCCACAGGTACCATAAAGTAAAAAATAAAAAGATGACACAGACTGAAAGATACCTAGAGCAAACATAGGATGGACATCAAGAATACATATATAAAGAAATGCAAATTCAAACACAACAATTATGTAAATCGACAAACGGCAAATGACAGAAAAAGAAACTCCTGTGATGGATAAATATGGAAAGAAATGTCTCCCTTTATTAGTAACTCAGGAGAACACAAATTAAAAACAATGAGTTCACAGTGCTCCCATCAGAATGACAGATGGTTTAAAGGTTAAGAACACACGTTAACATTAGTATAGGGAAACAAGACCTTTCATACCTGGCTGGCAGGATTATAAACTGGTAAAACAGTTTAGCAGCCTTCTGATTATATCTAGTAGAATCAATATGCATCTACCATATGATCCAGAATTTAATTTCTAGTAGTATTTCCTAGAGATTCTGGCATACATAAAAAAGACACCCACAAAGCATTTCCGTATAGGTCCACAGCCCACCACCTATAATTCTGAAATCCAAAAAGTTCTGAAAAAAACAAGTTTCCTGTAAGTTTCTTGCAAACTAATTAGGTGGTAGAAATTGACCAGATATGAAATGTGTGGTTTTCGTTTATTCCATAAAGTGTACAATTTCACCGCAATTTCTTATGTATCCTGTACTGCCCTTATGCTGAGGATGTTACACTGTACAAGTGGATATACACTATATTTGTTTCCTAAAAGCTAAAGGAAAGCTGAATTCCATAGTAGTTTTTCCTTAAGGATTTCAGATAAAGAACTGTACACATATATAGCAAAAAAATTGGTAATAATCCAAGTGTTCATCAAGAAGGAAATTGGTAATTCAGCAGTTTAATTAAACTATAAAGCAGTTTAAATAAAAGAGCTAGATCTGGTCATATCAACATGGAAAATAAGAATCTTTATGATAAGATGATATTGAATAAAAAAACAACAGTGTTATGTTGGCACCTTAAACAAACAGTAGTACAGATCGCTTGTGGATACAAACATAGGAAGAGGAATAAAATCACAGACAGAAGGGTCTGAGAGAAGGCTATCTGTGGGGCCGAGAAAAGCGAACAGGTGCAGGAGCTTTTACTATAACCTCTGCCTCTAAATTAATAATCTGAAGCATGTGTATTAATGACTACATTAAAACAAAAGATTCTTTGTGCCACAGGTACCATAAAGTAAAAAATAAAAAGATGGCACAGACTATACACATGCTGTCAGGTGTATACTCTATATACACCTGACATATGAGTTGCTACTATTTTTATGTTTGAAATATTTCACAAATAACTAAATATAACAGGACCCTACCCCCCATGTGTTAAGAGTCAATGGCTTGCCAAGTAGTGGCACACATCTGTAATCCCAGCTACTCAGGAGGCTGAGGCAGGAACTGCAAGTTCCAGGCCAGCCCGGGCAATTCAACAAGATTCTGTCTCAAAACAGAATAGGTTTCCTGGTACTGGAAAAAAACCCAGAAACAACAACAACAAAAATTTAAAAAAAAAAAAAAAAATTAAATTAAATTTTAAAAACCAGAATAGGTAAAAAGGGCTGAGGAAGTAGCTCAGTGGGAGGTCCTGGGTTCAGTCATCAGTACTTGGGAGAAAAAAGCCAATGGTTTAATGAGGACCATTATTCACATATTGAATAAACAAGTGGGATACACAATCAATGGTCTGTGGGAAACCAAACTACTGGTATGTGGACAGTGGGAAGTGATACACTGAGGGTGCTACAGCAATTTCATGGGGATTTCAAGACGCACTGGTAGTTTCTCATGATATTTTACGATCAATACAGCTTCATGATAATATGGACTGAGGGATTCAAGGAAGGCTAAACAATTACACCCAAGGGATAATAAGAAAAATTCCTAGCGTTCCACGACAGGGCTGCCCTTGACTTTATGTTTCATTAAAAAAAAATTTTTCTTTTAAATTTCATTTACTCTATTTTTTTTTTTTTTTTTGGTAATGGGAATGGAACTCAGGACCTTGTACTTGCCAGGCAGGCACTTGTGCCACTAAGCTATATCCCCGGCCCCTTGTTAAAATTTTTTATACAATGATTGTATGCACAAGAAGTTCACATAGGATTTGGTGCTCTATTGAGTGGTTAGGATGTTCCATGACAAAACAAGTATCAACACTTTTCAATTAGGTTAGAAGAGTAAGATAACTTTGTCAGGGATGAAAAATATTTTGTCTTTAGATTAATGTTTAAGTCAAGTGCACAAATATAGACTAACAATTCTGGGACCACCTGTCAAGGAAACAATTAAAGGTTTTCCCCACTAAAAGATGAACAGGCCTATTGGGGAAGAGTCTGGAAGTCAGAGGAGCAGTCCAAAGAGCTTACGAAAACCACTTTGAAGATACCACCATATATTACAGCAGCCATTGATATTTTCCTACTAATCTGTCCATAACTCTGTAATGTTTGTATTGTTCCTATGCTATTTCATAAATGCATGTGTGTTTATTACTAGGTGTTTCCTACAACAACCACTGAGAATAGTCAATGAATATTCAATTGGTCACTCATGTATAGCTCTATTTATTTTCTTTTGTTTGTTTTGTTTTTGGTTTTTTTCCAGTACCGGAACCGAACTCACGACCTTGCGCTTGCCAGGCAGGCGCTTTGCTGCTGAGCTAAATCCCCAGCCCCTCTATTTATTTTCTTTAGAAACCGCTTTGAAGATACCAAAGTATAGTACAACAACCACTGATAATAACCTACCACTTTTATCTGTAGCTATTATTTGTCTGTTTGTTTTCCTGAGGAACTATCTTGTAGATAACAATATGTAAAACAACAACCATTGATAATTTTCTACCACTTTGTCTGTAATTAGGTAAGCCCCCCTATTACTATGTTATCCTTCTTTTACTCTTTAAAATTAAAAAAATAAAATAAAAAATAAAAGAGCAACAAAACAAAACAAAACAAAACAAAGAGCTTACGAAACTAAGCCTCTGGGAAAAAGAAGGACCAAGTCCACTAGTATGGGGCAGCTGGTACACAGCTTGTACAACAGGCAGAGAAATCAGCTTATTTCTTGTTGCTGCTTCTTAAGGGAGATCCAGAACCATAATGTTCACATTTTAAGATGATACATTTCAACCTGACACAGGACAAAAAAAATTATGAACTGATTCTTTAAAAAAAAAAGAGAGAAAAAGAGCTCTTACACGTTTACACACAGGGACATGGATTGTCTGGGGTCTTACAAAGGTCTTCATGACCAAGATCAAAGTTGGAGTAGAAAATCTGAGTGGTTTCTTTCAAGTCTTCAGATTCCATGAGGACAGTAGGAAAGATGATAATAATACCTAAAAACAACAATACCCTGGCTTTGTCTTGCTATTTTTTAAGTTAAAAGGATAAACTTTAAGAAACTGCAGGGAAACATTACTGACTTTTCCCAATTTCTATTTGTTTTGAATGAATTAGAGAAGATATAGCCAATAAGATGACTTGAAACTTTATATTTCATGCTGAGAATAAATGCAAACAACTCAGCAAATACTAATCACCCAGTGGAGACCACAATATGTCTAGTGAGAAATCAGTTTCAAACTCAACTGGAATTCAGGTAACTCACAGCTGACAGGGAACAGGTGATACACAAGTATGACCTGGGGACACAGAAATAAGACAATCTTAGCCCTGTTTACAATGGGGTCCGCTGTGGGCTTGGGCAATAATATAACCGAATAAAGAACTAGTGGGAAGTAAGCAAAGGGAACTGTTGCTGCTTTTAGAAATGGCTCACAGGAGATACAGGAAGAACTTTACCCATCCACCTCCACCAAGCACGGTGACTTTGTATGCATGCTGTTTCTGACCATAAGAAGGAAATACGGTTTAGAAGTTAAAGGATTTAGGTTATGCACAAGCTAAAGAACAGTGAGCAAGTCATTCTACTCCTTGGTGCCTCCATCCAACTGTAAAATAGGGATACTAATTTAACAAATTAAAAAAACTACAGAACTCAATGCAGTATGAAAATGCTGTGTAACCTATACAGCCTCACATAACTTTGCTGCTGTTTTTACTTTACTCATAAGTAGTAAGGCCCACTTGGTCATTTTCACACCACCCAACTTGCCTGTACATTTAGCCTTTACCTCATGAAAAGGCAAAATTGGAAAAGGCAAAATTGGTTTTGAGATTACAGTGTTTTGTTTTGGTTTGAGTTGTTTGAGACAGGGTCTCCCTATGTAGTTCCAGCTGGCCTTGAACTCATTATGTAGCCCAGCTGCTCTTGAACTCACAGTAATTCTCTTGTCTCAGCCTCCTGAGTGTTGAGATTACAGGCGTGCGCCACCATGCCCGGTGGAGATTATAGTTCTTAAAATCAGCTGCTCACCAAAATCAGCTGGAAAGTTTTAGAGCTTCTGTGTCTCAAGTACTGAAAGGGTTAGGGTGAGCGACTGATCCTGGACTATAAAAATAAATTACATGGGTACCTTTACAGCCACTGAGATCTCAAAAACAGAAGCCTACTTGCTCCTCTATAAAGTTCACCTTAGTGAAATACTACTTAAGTATAAAATGTTTATTTTTCATTTATTCATTGTTCAGATAGTTCAGGAGTTTTCCAAATATATTACTTTCAGCTAGGTCTGGTGGTACACACCTATAATCTCAGCACTGGTGAGGCTGAAGCAGGAGAATCGCCATGATTTCAACGTCAGCCTGGGCTACAATAGTGAGTTCAAGACCAGCCTAAACTATATAGTGAAACCCTGTCTCAAAAAAAAATCAAAAGAAAAAAAGATACATTGATTTAAAGTGTGCACTAAATGTACTTTCATGAACATGGCATGAGATAATCACAAATGCAGTTCAAAATTCTAATAAAATTAATATGCTTGGTTTCTGTTATATCAATTCAGCAACAGATTAACTTCAAGGCACTAAGTCTGCTATACGTTGCTATTATAAAAGATCAGCCCTTTCTTAGTAACATGAGCGTAACTTTGTTTCACTCCTTTTCCAAAAAACTCACAGAAATTTTTTTTTTTTTTTTTTTTGGTTTTTTTGAGACAGGGTGCTGGCTGCTACATAGTTCAGACTGGCCTTGAGTTCACTTTCTAGTTCAGGCTGGTCTGGAACTTGCAACGATCCTCCTGCCTCAGCCTCCCAAGTGCTAGGATTACAGGTGTGCACCACAACTCCTGGCTCACAGAATATTTTTAAAAGCCCTTTCCTATAATTCTTATATAAGAATAGAGTTCCCAAGATAAAAGCAAATTTTGTCATCACAAAGTAGTTTCTTCTTCTTCTTCTTCTTCTTCTTCTTCTTCTTCTTCAAAAAAAGTAGTTTCTTCAATGTCACCCACCCAAATTAAACATTTCCTCATCAAAGTAAAAACAAAAAAACCAAAAACCCATAAGTTTAGAAAATGAAAGCGTAAACAGCATCATCGTCTTAGTCCTAGCTCCCCAAAGCATTTCTTTTGTTTTGAATTCACTATGGAGGCTGAGTACCCTTTTTGTTCTATTTCCAAGCTTGAGGAGTGTGTTCTTAGTGTTTTCCTCAGACCCAAACTACACCATACATTTGAAAGCTCTTAAAATAGATTAGGGTATAGACCTCAAAAAATTGAAAACAAGGACTAAAAAGGATAAAGCAACATTCATAACAGCATTATTCTCAATAGTTAAAAGGTGGAATTAACTCATGTCCATCGACAGATGAACAGGTAGTCTAGAACATACAATGGAATATTACTCAGGCATTAAAAAAGAATGAAATTCGGATACATGCTGTTAACACGGACAAACCCTCTAAAAACATTATGCTGACAGCAATAAGCCAAAACCAAAATGACAAATACTGTGTAATATGACTTACAATCTGGAAAAGGTCAATTCAGAGACAGAAGATAGCACAGAAGTTACCACAGGGGTCTGCACAGAAGGAAGGGGGAGCTGCTGCTTAGCGGCTACAGTTTTTGTCTGGGGTGATGGCAGAGTTCTGGAAATGGTCGTGGTGATGTGCACTGTGAATATACACGTCGCTGACTCCTACACTTAAAATGGTAAACTACTTGTGTATTTTGCCATAGTAAAAGGTAAACATTTTTCAAAAACCAAGATAGGTACGGCCCCCTGTTAGCATACCCAACTACCGGACATAACTCAGAAAGTTCCCAAAACGCAGGACAGTATGAACAGAGGGCATCCCGAGGAATTTAATTCATGAGAAGCCAAACCTGAACTCGATTTCCTTCAAGGCAACCTGTGGACCGATATCGTAACAGTGCCTGCTACCTGCGTAACAATGTCTGCGTACCATAAAACCATGGCCTTTGGTATATACCAAGTCTGGATAGGAGCACCTTTCCTGGGTCCCCTGGCTCGCCCACAAAACTGGGCTACGGGCGCAGGCGGCAGCCCTCCCTGGTCGCTCCCCCCAAATTCTACCGAGCTAGCAGGTGCTGGACACAGTGCTGTACGCCGCAGGTGCCGCCTGCCCTCCACGGTCTGCTCCGCGGGTAACCGCGGCTCGCGAACCCGGAAAGCCCCCTGGCCTGACAGCTCCGCGCCCCAGGCCGGACCCTCCGTCCGCGGCCGACCTGGGCGAGCGCCAGCGCTGGGAATTCCCGAGGGCGTCTCAACACACCGACAGACGCCCGAGACCCCAAACCCAGCGGGCAGCCTCGCCTTGCCTAGCCCCCTCCCGCTCCCCGACGCTGCCCTCACTTGTGCGTTTGCTGGTACAACGGCTCCATGTCGCCGGCCCGCGGCGGTAACTCTGACCCCGTCGGAACACGTCCTCACAGGCCCGCTTCCGGTTTCCGGTTTCCGGTTTCCAGCTTCCGGTCGCAGGGGCCTTCCTCCAGACCCGGTAGGCTCCCGCCAGCGTGCCTTACTGCGGTGGGTATGGAGTCAGAAGGGGAACAAGAAACGAAAACGGGAAAGGGAAGATGAAGTGTAGCTAGATGCTCGGCTTCACAGGGCGGTATAGGGGAATGTAGGTTTTTGCAGAAGCTTTGCTTCAGTTTTGGGTCAGGTATTGGATAGGACAGTCGCGGGGTACTGGCGTGGGGTCCTCAGCAAGGTTGCCTGAGAGCTACTTTTAATTGTGGATCTGGAGAGTTCGCACATCACAGGGTTCCCGGACGCTTCTTCTGTCTGGAATTTGTTCGTTCACTAACCCACCCCTCTCATCCCTTCCTTTCCCGTTTATCCGTCCAATAAACCTACACTGAATGAGCGGTTATCCTAAATCCTGCGTGATGTGGGGGAAATCCTGCCCTCCAAGAAAGTATGTATACAAAGAAATATTCTAAAAGACAGGAAATGCCAAGAGACACAAAAAACTGGCGTTGCTTTTAGGAGGAGATTCCGGAAAGACTTGAACGAGGCAGCAATTGAGTTGGCACTTGAAAGTGCTCGGGCACTTCTGACTCTCCATGGACCCTTTGCGTTTCCATCCTCCCAGTTTTATCTGCAGTTCCAAGGGAGGGGATGTTCCTCTCCCTTTGACAAGTTAATGCTTCTATTTCCCTGTATCCTGGATCCCTCCCACTTTTGTATCTTAGGAGATTCTCCACCCGTGTACATTCTTTCCCTAACAGTTTTTCCACTTATTCTCATACTCATTGAACATCTACTATGTGCCATGCACAGATATCAAGAAGAGTCTTTTGGGAAGGTTAATCATACCCACAAGTGAAACTGTCAAGTAGCATAAAAGCCACCATTGATGCGAGTATAAAAAGGGTTCATGGACTAAACAGGATACGAATAGAGCCTTCAAGAATCGATAAAATTTTTTTGTTGTTTGTTTTTTGTCTTTTTGAGGCAGGGTTTCACTTTGCAGTTCAGGTTGGCCTTGAACTTACTTTGTATCCCTGATAAAGTTTTAGCTGGGCTTGCTGGCACATGTCTGTAACCCTAGCACTCAGGAGGCTGAGAGAGGAGAATAACCATGAGTTCGAGGCCAGCCAGGGCTACATAGTGAGTTCAAAGCCAGCTTGAACTGCGTAGCAAGACCCTGCCTCAAAAAAACAAAAACAATCCTCCCAAAAGATGCAATAAAGTTTTAATAGGACCACATAACATTCTAATCACTCTATGTTTCTTGTACTGGCCTGGTAGAGACAAAAAGGAGGGTATTTGGGACTGAAGGAATATGTCAAGCAAAGGCAAACAGGGAGGAAGAATTTGGATCTCCTGTGGCCAGGTTTAAAGGGCTTATAGGCAATAATAGTATCAGAATGGAGCTTAGAGCCAGATCCTGGGGGACCTTAACTGTCATGCTTAGTATTTTATTTGTAGATTTTTTCCTATAGGTAGTTTGAAGCCTGCAGAGGTTGGATAGAAACAAATTTCTCAGGAATTTTTAGGAATACATAAGGAAATCTTATGTCTACAATTTTCTTTTGATTCTCAGAGTATCCCTGTGCAGTGGGGCAGGCAGATCCCACTCAAATTTTGAAGGCCTTCGCTTTTTAGAACCTGTATATGTCGATCCATGTAGTGCTTCTCATCCCTTCAATTCCTCATGCTATTTATTAAGTGTAGGTTACATCATTGTTCGTGATGCTCCAATGTCCTTCACTGCCCACGGCTTCCCTGCTTTGTTAATGATAAAACCAATGGCAAGTTTTGCTGAGAGTATGCAGGAAAACATGAATAAAAATTTACCATTCAGAATTTTGTCGTGTAAATGTGCAGCAATGTTTCATGCAACCATGTCTTCCCTTGATTGTGTGTGTGTGTGTGTGTGTGTGTGTGTGTGTGTGTGTGTGTTACTGGGGTACTGTAGCCTTCACAATGGGCTGCATCTCCAGCCCATTTTTTAATTTTTTATTTTGAGACAGTCTCACTAAGTTACTAAGTTGCCCAAGAAAAGTTTAAACTTTTGATCCTCCTGCCTCCTCCCAGGGTGCCGGAATTACAGGTGTGCACCGCCATGCTGGGCTTTCTCTTGCGTTTTTTAGCTCTTAGTCACTGTGTTCCTGGAATCTGATCTTTTTCAGTGTTGCCTGCACCGTTGACTTCCACACACTGAAACTGGCTGGAGCAAAAAGAGAAGTCCCGTTCATGCAGGGAATATCTGGCCCTCACCTGGCACAGCTTCAGGCCATCCCTATAGCTCATGAGGTCACTGTGTTGATCAAAGGTAAGAGAGGATGTTGGTCATAAAAGCTAGTTGGCATTTGAAGTAACAGTCTCAAATGGAAATAACACACAGGGTTGCTTCTGTAGGTGCACATGGTATAAACCTGTAGAGGGACTGGGGTGGCTGACCTGTACCAGCTGGAGGTAGGAAGCTCCATGCGGATGAAGAATGCTGCTATTCCCACTATTCTTTAGGGCAGAGGCAGCACTGTGGTCATTACTCAGACTGGCAAGACCCCTGGTATTGACCCAGACAGATGGCTCAATGCTTAGGGTTGGCGGGAGACCAATAGTGGCCTGGAATCCTGAACTCCTATGTCCGGTATAAATGGGAATCTCCCAAATGTGTCAAGTCATTACCATCTTAATGTGCAGTGCCATAAAGGAAATATTGTGCTAGCCAGCAGAAATAATCTACTTGCCAGGCTGCACTAGACAACCCCAGGAGGCATGAGTCCTGAAGCTCTTCAGAGCATATGGCCAAGAGCATGGATGGAGTGGCATGTCAGAGAGGGTACCCTAAAGAGAAGTAGACTGGGATGACCCAAGCCACAGAAGAGGGATTTAGAAAAATTCAAGAAGAACTTTCCAAAGTGTTGCATCCCTGAGGACCTGGCCTGAGACCTGGATGAGGCACCTTGCTTGCCTAGGTCTCAGAGGAATTTTGTAGGAGAATAACAGTTTCATGTTCTTTGCCTACTGCTCCCATTGAGAAGTGGAGTCTAGTTCCATTCCTTTGGAAGCTGAGATGACAAACTCTTTGTGGCCAGGTGTCTATTGCTGCATAACAGACTACATACTTCAAAATTCAGAGGCTTTAAAAACCATCCATTTTATGTCAGGAATACACCTCAGTGGCACAAGTGCCTACCTGGCAAGCACAAGGTCCTGAGTTCAATTTCCGGTACCAACAAAACAAAACAAAACAAAACAAAACAAACAAACAAAAAAACCCCTCCATTTTACTATGTTGAACCGAGTTCCTGCACAAGGCCTTTCTAATATGATGGCCTCAAGGCAGATGAGCTTTTTGCACGGTGTCTCAGGGTTCAAACTAGTGCTGTATAAGGCTGAGCAGAAGCTGCAGGGTTCTTAGGACTTAGCTTCTTAGGCTTCCTGGAACTCTAGAACCATATGAAATAGAACTGCCCACCTGACCCTTTGCCTAAGTCCTTGTCCCATGAGAGCAAGAAATATGGTAAAATGGGGGCTGGGGATTTAGCTCAGCGGCACAGCTCCTGCCTGGCAAGCGTGAGGTCGTGAGTTCGATTCCTAGTACCAGAAAAAACAACAACAACAAAAAAGAAATATGGTAAAATGGACGATTCCAAAGCCTGTGAATTTTGAGGCGGTTTGTTATGTCACATTACACCTCAAAGAAGTTATGATCTGACCAGATGAGAGGGTACAGGGCTTATGAATACTAACAACGCAAGATAGCGTATGAATGTGTGAGTAGTAAGGACAATTCAGGATGCAGGAAAGGAAGAGACTCCTTCGGATTACAATGATGAAAGAAGGCTTTCCAGAAGAGATGTGATTTCAGCCATATCTTTAAGTATAAGAAGGAAGGAGATGGACGGAGAGGCAGGCCTGAGGTGTTCCTGGCGAGTACAGAGGTAAAGCAAGAAAGGGGTTGGCAGAGCCAGAGTATAGTTTAGCCAGTCCCTCTTGGGTAGGGCAGAGGATTTCTGTAGTAGAAGAAGGTGCAGCTATAACTCTGGGATAATCAAGCTGCAAATAGGAAAAACACTTTGCCCCTACACTGTGACGCGGAGAACGTCTGGAGGGCTTTCGTCCTCAGGTGATGGGACACTATGTTTTGTTCCATAAATAGTGTTTCCAGAAAATCAGCATGATACTTTCATGTGTCTGCCTTTTATTTGAACTTCAAGAGATGAACCTGTGGTTCTAGAGTTCCAGGATTTGGGACACCAGCTTAGCCTGTTTGTTCTCTTTATGGTGTGATAAACTTGGAACACATCTCTCTGAAGAAGACTTTTGGTCTATCCACTTTGATGAAACTTAATGCCTGTCTCTCAAGCCATTTGGGTCTCTATGGCCCTCTTAATCAGATTGCATGGAATGATTCTGCTGCCCCTCCTACCAAACCATCAGTACGCCCTCTCTTCCCTCGTCCTGGTCGTCCTGGTGCACCTTGTGATCCTATGTTCCCTGAACCCTGCCACTCCTGTTGCCTGCTCCACTTGTCCCAACGTGCATTGCCACTTTGCATGATTGGTGCCCACTGTGAATATGTCTCGCGCTCAGTACGGAACTGTAAAAGCTGGTTAAGGAGCCTTCGTCATCTCTCAGCCACTCCCTCAGCTTTCTATGCATCCTCTTCAGTGTTGCCCAGGGAAATCTTTCTAAAACACAGATTTGATGTATAAGACACGGTATGCCTTTTGATAGCTCCTTGGTGTCTCAAGAATACAGTAATACATCCTCATCTTGGTGGACAGAGCCTCCTAACTGGTCTCTTCCCTGACCGTTTTCCCCATCCTTACTGGAGAATTGCAGCTCTGTTGACATTTTCTGGCCTTCCCATACACTCTTCTCTGTACCTCGGATACCTCCTTCTGCCTTGGGCCTGAGCAGTACCCATGCATTTTTTTAGCCTCAGATCTGACTTCACCTGCCTTGGGGAACACCTTCAATGCCCTGCCTGGGTTACAACCTCTCTTCTGTTCCCACTAGCACCTGTCACTCCCTCTTGGTACTCCTTACAGGTGTCCCAATTCTCTGTCCACCACCCTGAGGGCAGAAATGTGTCTTTCATCCTTGAAGCCACTCAGAACCTGGTACAAAGTAGGTGCTTATTAAATATCTGTTACCTCGAATACATTCCATATAATCAATTCACTCTCCCTGCTTGGCCTTCCAGAAACTCAGAATTATTTGCAAGCTGACTTTTAGGTGATTGAAAACTGCACTCAGCAGTAGAGCTGTTCTTGCTGAAGGAGTTGTCACTTGAGATCAGTGCAGAGAGTTACCTAAAGTGTCTCCTCTTACAGCACTTTCACAGTCACTTATTCTGTGCTCACAGCCACATGTTGGGGTACAGGATTGATATAATCACTGTGGTTGTCCAGACAGGGACACTGAGCTTCACAGAAATTAACTTTCCTTTTTTTTTTTTTTCTTTTTGCAATTGACTTTCTTGCCCAAGTGAACCAAGCTGGTTAGTGGTAGAAGAGGACAAGGACCAGGGTGCAGTCACATGCCACCCTCCAGGCACCTGTTCTATCATCCTGCCTTTTTGACCCGGAGAGGGCCTTGTCACAGATAAAGAGGATACCTCTGGATTACTTCCACTTTGAGCAGCAATAACCGCTCCAGTGACCTCTGACCAAAGTCTGAGAAACATCATCTCCACACCTCAGGGTTTGCACTCTAACCCCTTGGACTGAAGCTGAAGGGACAGGAAGGATGGAGTTCTTAATTCAAAGGCTGTGATGAGCTGAGAAACACAAGCATTTCTATGGCCCCCTCTAGGATCCACAGGTGGAGGGATATTGCCCCAGGAGCTAAAGAGTTAGAAAGGGGTCTCCCAGGAAGCTACCTTCTGTGGAGAGTATCAGCAAATTGTCTCATGTAGCCATAACAGCCAGGAGCAGGACGAAGGGAGAAAGGTTTTGTCTGAGGAAAGCCAGTGTATTGTAAACAGGATAAAAGGGGCTGGAAAGCCCCACTTATCACTGACTAATGTGTCCCCTGGTCACTGGGGAGCTGAATCCCTACCAGCAGCCACCAGGGAGGGAAAGAAGATTCCTGATTAACCCCATCATCTGTGAGCAGGCCTAGGGCAAAGGTCTGGCCCTTTCCTTTGCTAAATGATTCCCGTAGTCATTGGCATTCACAGGGCTCAGCGCAGTTTCTAGAGAGCCCTTCCTACACTGGAGAAATGCCTTCAGAGCCCCCTGCTCTTCGGTGCCACCTGGAACAGGAAGGACATCATAGGGAAGGGCTGGAGGGAGGCAGAGGTGACACGAGTATGGGGCACTTGCAGGAAAGAGTGGTAGTGTCCTGGTCAGTGGGCTGGCTTCATTTAGACTTGAAGACTGAGTGAGAATTGTGTTTCTGGGCTCCTAAGAAGAATACTCTCATCCATCCCTTACAAAAGGTTTATTGTGCACAGGTATCTTAATTGTAGAGAACTGAGGCTCCAAGGGGTGAGTAAAATACACAAAGTGACACAGTAGGTGAGTGGCCAGCTGAAATCTGAACTCAGGCCCCACTTATGTGCAGCCTGGGCAGATCAGCATTTGGGTGCGAAGACCTCTGGGGCATGTGGATCAGGTGAGTTCTGCTTTCCTCTGACTTTGCTTCGCCTCTCCAGGGAGCCTTCTGTGGTCAGAAGAGACAGGCTTCTCTGTGTCTTCCCTTTGGGCTCCATTCTCCTGGACCATTAAGACAAAGAGAAGTAGAAGGTGTTCAGGACTGTGATACATAGAACCCAAGTTTGATTTGGGGTTTGGCCCTTTGGACAAATTGCATAATTCCTCAGAACCTCAGTTTCTTATCTGTAAGACAGAGGTAGTAGTTTCCACTGTATGTATTTCACTAAGTTGAAAGAGGGTTAAATGACAGGGGGAATGGAAGGACTTTGCACATGATTTGAGGGTTTATTGTCATAGTGGTTGTTCCAGGACCTTCTGACAGGTTCCTGCCTCCAGCCTTTGCCCTCCGCCTCAGCTGGCTCCTCCGTCATCTTATTTTCAGATTCATCTGCCTCGGATACCATGGTGTGCATGCCAGTCTCCTGTTCAGGGACCATCAGTGCTCCCTGCTAGTGCTCACTTGGGTTTGAACTTTGTCTTCCCCAGACTGGCTCACACCCACAAGCCAGGCTCAGTCTCTGTTTCCTTGCCAAATGAGACCAGAGATCCTTCATGGGGTTCACTGAATCTGCTCAAGTAATCCAGGTTGGACAGGCAGTGGGCTAAGGGCGTGTGCTCAGAAATCAATCCATCTGCATGTTGGAAGAGGATGCCTTAC